CTTGTGTTGATACAGATTCCTAGGTTCACTGCATTGATACCATTGCAATGTCCATCAGTGCACTTCAGTGCATGTACCTAACGTGACCTTGTACCCAGTCATTGTCTAGCCCTCCTACATACAGTGATCTATGTGGTGTCCATTACAGAGGTTCCGCAAAACGAAACTGCGCACAAGCTTTCGCTATACGTCATGAAGTGAGAAACCTCGCACGAACTTTCGCAACTTTGGACGCGAAATTTGCAGGGAACGCGAAATGAACTTTCGAGGGACGTTTCGCGAGATCGGGTCATGGCGTACGTGCACTTGGCGCGTGCAAACTACGAAAATGTGCAGAACCCAAAGTTCGTGCGAAACTTCATGAAGATTTTCGTAAGGCCCGTCGCAAAACTTTTCGTTCTGCAGAACCTCTCTATTAAGTCGCGCATATCTTACTTCCTCCGCGTCATCGAAATTGTCGCAGTTTGACTAGTGACTTGTCACTTGTTACTGACAACTCCATAAGCTAAGCCATTGAAAACCTATTAGACTCGAGTAACGTTTCAGAACAGTTGGACGGAGAGTTTTCATACCAGAGATGAAGTCCTCCTCGTCGCTGATGTCAATGGACGCAAAAATATCGTTCCGAAATATTTCAAGGAAGGTTGAAAGTTGGTCGCGCCTCATCCCAAACGCTTTGACTTTCTCCACAGGACAAGAGCTGCTATGCTTGTCGTCTGCTAGCTCTGGATGATTTCTATTTCACCACCAACGAAGCCTAGTAGGAATACACGATCGTTGCGAGGTCGGTTGATTACCGTCGGCGGAATCACCTCGATCTTGAAATGAACTTTTTTTAGCCGTGGCATGCCCATTTATTTTAGCTGTGTGGTCACAGCTCATGCAGGTAAGTGTGCTATCACGTCCAGCGCGCCCTATTTTTGAGCATCACTGGTATACCATGGTACGGCTTCTGCGCGTGCATCACTAGCACTACGTGTAGAGTCTACACGGCTCTTGCAGGTACAATCATGTACTGAGCGTCTCAGTGCGAGCGACAAATTTTATCGCTGTTGCAGGCATTTAGTTTGCTGACCCCTCGATGTTTCTCCAAGCGCTGCCACTTGTTCCACGAAGTCATTCTCACCCCAGCTAAGGTAAAACAGTGATGAGGCTTGAGTGAATGGCCATAAGCACGAGAAATGTGCAGGCCGCAACGCCTGACTGATCTCAGCGAGTCGAAATTACCATCGCAGCGACATCAGCAAAGAAATTGCGTCTAGTTCAAAAATTCCAGCTTCCAATAACAGAAAATAGAACTTTGCCGTCACCCTACACGGATGACTTTGGCCTATGTTCGATTCCTTGCCTCTGGTACGAGTGCTGGTGAGTAAATACCCCGTTTTATATCAAAAGTCAAACTGCGACAATTTCGATGACGCGGAGGAGGTAGAAAGTCAAATTTACTAAGAAGAGTTTACTGTTCTGAGCGATGTTTTTTGCCTGGAAACTTTCAACTAATCTAGGTGAACTTACTGTAGCAACCAGCAGTGTTCTGCCAGATGCCCTTATATGGCTTGGCGGGTATGCTCTCAC